GTTTTGTCATCGCTCAGCGCTTAAGCGTCACTTAAAAACGCTTTCTTGAACACTGATTTGTATCGATGTTTCCGGTACAAGGAAATGTACCCGATGATTACTTTATGTTAAATCTACTTGCCTTTTTACTCTGAGGGGTGCCTCCTACAATTACTTCATCTCATGCCGGTTCATTGTCATAATCATGCTAAGCATAGTTGAAGTCATATGTCTTTGTGTCAATGCCTGCCTCGTTGTTCATGTCTAATATTTTTACTGTGTCATCTTTTGCACTTGAAGGTGAATCTCAGATCGAGCAAGTGCGGCTGGCTGTTCCTACAACTGATGATCCAACACTTCCTGCACTTACATGCAGAGTATGGATCCTTGGGATCACAGGATGCATCATCCTCTCATTCATCACCATGCTGACCACTTTCAGACAAAACCCGGTTAATATTCCGGAATTTTCAATTATTATGTTGTGCTACTCTCTAGGCAAACTCATGGCTGCTGTTCTTCCAGCCAAAGTTGTGAGGGTCCCTGGAACCAAAATTGTGTTCTCACTGAACCCTGGCCCATTCAGTCTAAAGGAACATATACTGTGTTGCATGATCGCTAATAATGGTTTAGGGGCTTCTCCTGCAATAGATATTTTGGCAGCCACAAAGGCCTATTTCAGAAGATCTATTCACCCAGTTGCAGTTTTTTTGCTTCTACTCACAACAAGTGTAAGCACCACTGCACCAGATCTTCTCCCAATTTTCTGAATCAATCTGAAAGACATAGTACCGTTTTCTTCATTTGTTCAGTTATCACAAACGTTAAACATATGGAATAATCACAATAGATGCATATGTTAGCAGAAATGGTCACAAAAAATGTATTTACTTAATTAATGTTTGATTTAATACAAGAATATTTTATATGGGAACTTTCGCCATAAATTTTCGTAATTGATCACAGAATATTTCTTGTGGATTTATTGGCTTCTTCATGAAGTTCTTTGTGAACCGCTCAGAGATGTGGTGGCCTGAAATCTTACCCATGGTAACAATGTACAGGTTTGTCCTAGCATTTGAGCCCAGTTGTGTATATAACTATTTAAGCCTTTACTCTATTCTGATAACATGCTCATATCAACTGTACATTTGTAATGTAGGGCATTTCATGAGAAGGAGGAAAGATCAAAGGCAACACTACCAAGAAATAAATTTTTCTTCTTGGTCTTTGTCATTAGTTTTTCGTACTATACCATTCCGGGTTACTTCTTCCCTTCTGTTAGTGCATTGTCATTTGTTTGCTGGTTTTGGAAAAGGTCTATCACTGCTCAGCAAATTGGCTCTGGTTATAATGGTTTGGGGATTGGCTCATTTGGCCTTGATTGGTCGACAGTTAGCGGCTTCACTGGCAGTCCTCTAATGTTCCCTTTCTTTGTCATTGTCAACACGATGGTTGGGTTTATCTTATTCATGTACATTGTCGTCCCTTTTGCTTACTGGAGCAATTCATTTAAAGCGAAGACATTTCCTATTGTCAGTACAGAAGTGTATGATAACTATGGTGGTAGATATAACATGTCTAGGGTCTTGGATGAGAGTAATTTTCAATTTAAGCAAGAAGGCTATGAAAATTATTCGAAGTTGTACTTGAGTATTACACGGGCATGCTCGATTGGATTTGGACTTGCATCTCTGGGAGCATCTCTTACAGATATAGTACTATCTCATGGCAGGTAAGGAAACTACTATGCCTTTTCCCTGTAAGTTTATGACCTATGTGTGGATTTTTTTTTGTAATTGCATAGTTTCCATGATATGAAGGGGAGCCTTGGCGCAGTGGTAAAGCTGCTGCCTTGTGACCATGAGGTCATGGGTTCAAGTCCTGGAAACAGCCTCTTACAGAAATGTAGGGAAAGGCTGCGTACTATAGACCCAAAGTGGTCGGACCCTTCCCTGGACCCTGCGCAAGCGGGAGCTACATGCACCAGGTTGCCCTTTTTTTGCATAGTTTCCATGATATATTTGGTTTGCTATTCCATTCCTTTTCTTTCTTATGATTGAACATATTTCTTCATCTGAATGGAAATGTTAACCTTGCGTTCACGGATATCAGGATATTCATAATACCAGTGTCTTCTCATTCATTAGTGAGGTACTGGAATTTTTACAAATATATGTTGCAGCGAGTACACAGTATCAGTTTAAGCACTAGAATATATTGCGTTGGTATTATATTCATAGATGTATATGTTTTGAGTGTAGGGAGTGAATATTTATTCAATAATATTGCACCTAATATCAGTTTCAATATTTAACTACGATAACAATTGTAATATTACTTATTTTCGCTGAAGATATGTATGATTTGAAAATATAACGTGCTTGCCTTTTACTGCTTTGGAATTCAGATTGATTATCGTCAACTTGTCAAGGTTAGCTTCAGATTATGCTGTTCTAATCATACTATGCCAACACGTTATTTTGGATTTTAGAGAGGTGTATTTACTTGCACCACAATATACATTTCAACAAAAACATCCACTTTAAACCCTGAATATGTCTTCTCATTCATTAGTGAGGTACTGGAATTTTTACAAATATATGTTGCAGCGAGTACACAGTATCAGTTTAAGCACTAGAATATATTGCGTTGGTATTATATTCATAGATGTATATGTTTTGAGTGTAGGGAGTGAATATTTATTCAATAATATTGCACCTAATATCAGTTTCAATATTTAACTACGATAACAATTGTAATATTACTTATTTTCGCTGAAGATATGTATGATTTGAAAATATAACGTGCTTGCCTTTTACTGCTTTGGAATTCAGATTGATTATCGTCAACTTGTCAAGGTTAGCTTCAGATTATGCTGTTCTAATCATACTATGCCAACACGTTATTTTGGATTTTAGAGAGGTGTATTTACTTGCACCACAATATACATTTCAACAAAAACATCCACTTTAAACCCTGAATATGTTGCTTGGACCAAAATGGTTCCGAACATCAGAACCTTTAATTCAGGACTTATAACTTCACAATCCTGAACATTTTAGACCCCATGGGTGTCTGGATGCACAAGGATCTCATCTATTGCCATCAAGTCAATGCGATTTGACTGAACCAAACTGAATGTGCATTCCCATCTCGTCGATATGCCCCTTCGTCAAGAAAATTTGGCACTTAACCATCAGTAGACTTTGTAACAGTGGCAATGAGGACATGATGGACTGGTGGCAACGTTCTTCTATGGGTATGCACAAGGAGACGGGGAAGTCTTGGAGATATGTGATGGCTCTTGTCAGGTGGATGCTATGGAAAGAATGAAATGAAAGAATATTCAGAAAACATCCTGTACCTCTACGCGTCTGTTCAAAAAAATTCAGACAGAGGCTAAAGACTGGGTGGACGCTGACTGGCGACGAGTCTTGGCACTAGTAGAGAGACCTCTAGAACCAGACTAATGTTCTGAACTGTAATTCTTCCTAACGAATGAGACAACATTGTCCTTCCTCTTTCTCTCTTCTCACACACCCGCACTTCTCTTTCTTTTCTGACCACGGCCGAGCTTGATGGGAGCTAGCTCTTGCACACCCGTAATGCTGTGACAGTGAGGGGAGAGTGGATAAATGGAATAAGGATTTCACCAGACAAGCACATGCGGTGGGCAACGGTGTGCATCCCCGGAGTAGTATCACAATCATGGTTTTCCTCAGTAGACGCGGGAGGCAAGGATTGCCTATACAGAGGGACTCAAAATCAACGGGGATTCACTGTATTCAGAGATTGGGGTGGCGAGGCGTTCACTGGACTGGAGGCAACCACCACATAATGGGTGCTCCCAGCACAACAAACTCTAAGTGCCTCCTGCAGAAGTCATGGAAAGATGACAAAATAATCCCCACATAGACACAAGGTCTATCATGTCACCAAATTTCACATTGTAGTTTGATTAAAATTATGGAAACAGAGACAAATCTGATGCGAATCGTAGCTACAAAGGATTTTCTACAGATTTTATGAGGGTGTTTTAGGGTTCCGGGTATCGGGTGCACTGCAAGGGTGTGAGCACCCACCCGATACGCCCTCGAGGAAGATGACCTCAACTTGTAGTCTGGTGCGCGGGAGGTTCCATAACCGCCACAACCTCAGTGTGCCAGCCATGTTCTGCGATGTGAGCTTGCTTGGAGCCGGTGTAGTCAGAAAGTGTTAGGGTTGGTGAAGAGGTGGGTGGCGCAGAACAGGATATAGCATGCTGTGGTCATGGGAAGATGCGGAGGGAGTACGCACACGGCGGGTGTTAGAAGGGGGGGGG